GTATTTAATAACTGGAAAAACATACAGCTTACCCCCAGGTAAATGATCGTGGAGGCAGCTTCTTAACGCCAAAATGAAATATACCAAAAACGAGGAAATTACAGCAATGATATACCTTGAAAATGGTTTTGAAAAAAGAAAAAACATTTCACAACATACTGAAACCTTTTTCGTCTGACACTCCTCAGAGTATAAAACGTCAGAATAAGGGCCCGGCGTGTTCCGAAAAACTCCAAGATAGGGTTGTCTGAAAGCTAGTATTCTGGGACATGGAATCTTGAAAATAGGGTTGCTTTTTTAATCAGTCAGAGGAAGCACAAAAAAGGCAGGAATTTAGTGATATGTTTTTTCAGATAACTTTTTTGGTAAAGTGAAAAAGGTTACCAAATTTGAGCAAAGTCAAAGAATAGGGTAAATTTTCATAACCCAGAATCAGAGATTAGTTTCTCTTTCAGGAACACAAATGATATATGTTTGACCAACTGACTGAGCCCGCACAGAATAAGTGTCTGAAAGAACAGGATGGGAAATGACGTTTTATACTCTGAGGAGTGTTAGGCGGAAAAGTGTGTTGTGAAATCTTTTTTTTCAAAGCCATTTTCAAGTTCTGTACGGCCAAAAACTGTTCAAATTATACATCTCTTGTCCATTTAATAGTTTTGTATTGACTTTTATTCAGAAACGAGAAAATGATAATTTTAACAAAATACCTTGAATTTCACCTCGATCTTCCTTCCAAGCAATGGTTCAGTAGTGTAAATGATCAGTCATCCTATTTTATTAATAACAATCAAAACATTTGCTGCCTACACATTGATAAACTACGCAAATACATATGCGACAGAAATGACGTCAGACGGAAGAAGGAAGTAAGTTTCGAGCTGCTCTGATCATCTAATAAAACAAAAAGATCGAACTTGAGTATGCGGGGGCTAGCCGTAGGAACAAGAGCATCCCCCGGCGATCTTTCAATTTTCAGTGCTGAAAATAAATGAGCAACTCATCAATTTGCTGGCTAGGAAAAGTCGGAAGAGGAAGCAGCATTTATGATTCAACGGCATTCTCAAAAGTTTTGAAGAACTAATTGCAAAAGCAATAAACGCTCAAACAACGAGCTCTTTATGATTTCCAAATTTGATTATAATTACAAATTTAAAACTTTTTAATGTTTTGCTGATTCTTTGATACTACAGAGTACCGAAGTGATGACGTCATAAAAATCTTCCGCATTTGTTTGCGTTTTTAGAAGCCTTCCGTATTTGTTTGCGTGTCTGTTTTGTTTTTGTAACTCCGTTTTGTCATGTATTGTAGTAGTTGTTTTGTACGAAGTTTGTATGTTTCGACTTCCGAGCAGATACGTCGTAGTCGTAGGGCAAGACTGTATGAAATTGACTGTTTGGTCTTGTTCGTGTGTCCAAATCATAAAAATATCGTCGATGAAACGCCACCATACATAAGGTACAGCAATGGGAACAAACCTTTTCATGGGGACCTTTGAATCTGATGCCCCAGAGAAAGCCCCGTACAAACTCACATCAACCTATCATCGACACCACCATCTCCTCTTTAAAATTTGTAAATTTTTAGTTCGTTTACTTTTTCTCTGATGCCGGGGCGAAATATTAGCTATCACTGATTTGTGTGTTTGTTGTTGTTTATTCTCGTCGCGTTGCGGTGTTCCTTATATACTACTCTGTAATTTGGTCTTGGTTCATAACTTTATGAACCAGGCCAGAATGATAGTAATCCGTTAGCAAACTTGGAATCCTTCATTGGCCATATCTCGCCCAATTTGCAACTTATCTAACTAATTTTGCTCTTTGCAAGGTCTTTTATCTCGTTCTTATACATTATGTGGTCAAAATTGAGAAATTCTAGAAATAGGTGACGTCACACTTCGGTACTCTATTGCACTCTTTTTTAAGCACCAGGTAACTTTTGTCGTGGCTGGATGGATAGTTTGAGGCTTAAGTGTACTTTTTTATCTCAAAACTAATTTTTCTATAACAAAATACTATCAACTTTTTCCAAGAACACTAAGTAACAGTTTGAATGATATTTTTAGTAGCACTGGGCATTAGTTGATGAATCTGTTCAATTTTGTTAAACGCAGAACAATTGTCAAAAACACTACATCAAAGTAATCAAATATGCAGACAATACAGTATTGTACGCTTCTGGGGAACTGCTACAGACATTACTGAGAAACTCAACAGTGATCTCAGTAGGTTTAAAGCATGGTTCCAAAAGAGTGAACTTATTCTGAATCTTGATAAAGGAAAAACTGAAACTCTTCTGTTTGGAACCACTAAAAAAGTAGCAAATGGATCATCAGATTTCAGAGTCAGCATAAACAATAAGGAGATAACGAAAACAAGTAGCTACCAGTACTTTGGAGCAGTGGCGTTACCAGCTCGAAAAATCTGGGGTGGACGAAAACAAATTTTCTCGGCCACGCCCTTCAGACTCTTGGAAAATCCTTATTTAGTATTTTTGATCAATTTTGAAATTTTTTGACAAGCAACTTTCTCAAGCAGCATTTTTCGTAACGGCGGCTTTTTTGCCAGTGGAAAATCGAAGTCGATTTGATCAGCCTAAATCCCACCAGCCCCCCCCCCCCAAGGTTTTTCAACGTATTTCGTAGATGCGTAGAAAATCGACTTCTGGGCGACATCCCAGTCCACCCCGTGGCGACGCCATAAAAAGGCATCATCTCGACTCAGTCTCCTTGCGAAACTACGAGGAGAACTGGATGCGAAAGCAGCGTGGGCCATATACAAACATACGATTTTACCAACATTCACTTACTGCGGCATCCTTCTACTCTGCAATACAAGAACTCAATTAGGCAAGCTGGATTCTCTAACAATAGAGCTAAAGCCATCGTGAATAGAAACTTGGTCGACAAAATCACACTGCAGTCTGTGTCCAATGCCAATAAAAAACGAGGTTTTATCCTTGTCAGATCATGCCTAGACAATAAAATCATTGACCCTTTCAAACAATACTTTCAATTCGATTGAAACAGTTCTAAAATAATACGTTTCCCAAAGATAAAAATATGCCAGAAAAATTGTCTCTTTCACTGGTGCAAAAGAGTACAATATGCTCCCTTTAGAAGCTCGCGAAAAGAAACATTTTAGTTGAAATACGTTGACACATTTAATGTAAACTTTTATCAGGTGCATTTTTATTACTCTTTACTCTAGGTTAGGTTTCATTTCATTTACTTTTTTATCTTTCACTGGACACACATTGATAACAGCTTCTCTTAAGTTGAAGTGTTTATCCAGTCAGTGGCGTACCCAGGGCCGGAGTAGTGGGAGGGTCTGGGGCGCAGTCCCCGGAAATTTTTGGACCACGCCCTTCAAACAATCGCAAATGCGGGGAAACACCGTTTTTGCAAAATTTTCCGCCATTATTTGCTTTATGTTAACTACAGTAAATAGCAAAGTATATTACAATTGTTTTTGACACAAGCATACAGTATACTACACTCCCCCCCAATGAGTTTTACATCGTTTTTGGATCATATTTTAGAAAAGTTTGGGGGGGTCCGGACCCCTCTATTCCCCCCCTTAGGTACGCCACTGTATCCAGTATATGTAATCGAAATTATTATTATTATTATTATTATTATTACACATTCTCTGTCTTTGAATTTTTCGTCTGAGGCTGGACATGTTGGTGCATCGTTTTATTATTTCGGAAAATTGAGGTTTTTGTCGTGTGAAGTGTATTTTCATTAAAAGCGTGTTACAAGTTGATTAATTTTGTGTGGTTGTCCTGTCTTCCAAATTGAAACAGTTAAACCTCACTAGACATCTTATGTTTGATACTTTTTATCTGTGAAGCTTGAAGATCCACATCTAGTGATTATCATAATCAAAACTAGGAACTTCATTGAGGATTATTTGTATTGCTTTTTACTGTTGACAAAGAAGGTCAGACCAGGTAAATATTGTGAAACTCATGACGCATTGTTAAGTCCCCACCTCCAATGAGTTTTGCATGAAATATGGTTGGGCTGGGTCCTAGACGGGCACTCCTGAAATTGGCTATGTAGCCATAAGTCAGAAAAGAAAACATATTGGCAAGAAAGTGCTAAACAACTTGTTTTTCTATGTTCTCTGATTTCAAATTTCTTAAAAGACACTTTTCAGCGAATGTTTTCCAGAAACATATCTTAATGTTTTAACACTTTGAGATTCAGGGTATTTTAAGCTGCTCACTGGGTCAGTTCTTTTCAACTACAAGCTTCATCTCTTTAATCAAATCTTTGAACTCAATTTGAAGGCAGATTTGAAGGGGAAGGGCCACGTTTAACAGCACTGTAGGCAAGTACAGAGGGTCTAATTTTTTGAGCGACACTATTCTAAAAAATGAATTGGTTATTGAAAACAAAGGATTTTTATAATCTTCAGGAAGGGTAACTACTTCCGCGTTTGACTGTAAAATTATATTGTAATAGAATATCGCGTGCGTAGCAAACTATGATTTATGGAACAATGAAATTTGATGTGGAATAAATCCAGCTACTTTCGGGACAAAACCAGTTAACAGGTAAAATCCTAAAGTTTGAAAATTGAACCCAGCATCTTTCAAAGTATTTTAATTTCATCTTTAAATTGTCATTCAAGCCCTTGCTTTGTCCGCTGGACTAATGTCTTCGAACATTTATTTAATATAAACTGGAGCTGCAATACAATAAATGCAATGCAGTTTTCCATTAGAAGAGGATCTTAACCCATGCATTTGTCAGGGTATGAAAACTAAAGGGATCGAGGGGTTGATGGGGCAATGAGGAATTGTGGACAGCCACTCGGTCTCCCTTGCCTTTGTTGGTACTCGTTGCCCATCAATGCACATAGACATTACATTCAATATAAGAGATGAAAAATAGCTGATTATTGCTGAAAAAGTTATTAATTATGATTGCCCATCAAAATGAAAATAAAAATAACATTGGTTCTGAGAAAACGCAAAAGAAAATCACCAAGTTAGGTATTTATCTCATCCTACTGTTACAAAAATCTCTACTTTTTGCGTTTACAGGTTCTCAGGATAAGGCATAGACAAATGTTTTTTGGGATAGAAAGAAACTGTACTCCCTAGCTTCACATGAGAATGTCAAAGACTGCTTTTACGATACTGTAGCAACCATTGGCATGAATGACATTTGTAGAAGAATAACGGAGATAGGAATACACTATCAGCACGACACAAGACAGATTTCCATTTTATGAACATTGAGCAAATTTTAGTATGAAATCTGGGAATTAGCTGTAGTGTAAAACAAAGACGACCAAGACTCAGAACCTAAAGGTATTTTATTTGGTACAATACATAAACATTTTAAGAACATTTGGTAGGTTAGCTATTTGTATTTTTGTTTATTGTTTTGGAAAAGAAACATTTATTCAGTAAACAACATATTTGAAAATAGCAAACACCTGAAGCTAACATTTCAAATAAAACAACCAATTCAGCTATAAGTTTTAAAGCTAGGAATGTTAGAAAATACTTGTGAAAGAGAAGGACGCTAACAGTTCCTGGAAAAAAAGATCGTAGCATTCTTCTCGAGACCAGAAAACGGGTATTTTAAGGTTTGCAAAATCACTGACTGCTTAGTTCGAGGGACGTATCACTCCAAAACAATTTCGTACATCTTTGGCAAAAATCCTTTTGTTCTCGAGAAAAAAATTATCAAAAACACTTAATGATACTATTGTATTAAGTAATCTAGTACGCTGTTTTGGAAAGAGTGCCACGCCGGTTTCGTTATGCGATACTGTCTATATCTTCAATGAAGATTGAAAATTCGAAAGAAGTGGAAATTTCTACTTAGCTGTCGATACGATAATTAAACAGGCTCAACATGAGCATGGCATGACCAAAACAAAGGGAAGTTTGTAATTATCAAAACAGGTTTTATTTAGAAATTAAACGTTCAAGTTTATAATAGCTCCAGAATCGAACTGGTTTAGATGCCGAGTCAGCATGAACATCAGAAGTGGCTGCACTAAAGATATGAATAAAAGCAGATACAGTCGCCTCTTACTCGCTCTTGCGATTCCATCCGAGGCTGCCTCAGGGAGGATGATCAACCGCAACGTTCGGGCCTGAAACATAGACACAACTTTTACCTTATACCACTACAAAAATCATTGTTTATACAGAGCTGTGTGGAGGAATTGGCGCATGACTGGCATAATCCCGCTCGAAATGTTTTTTTTCTCTCGGGTGAATCATAAATTAGTATTGTTTAAATGCGTTTTAGTGACATTAGGCCAAAAATGACTTGTGTTTTTTCATCGATAAATGTTTTCCTTAAAACCATACAGTGTTAGATTTAAAAACTATATTGCCAATTCTATACCCTTGAAAGGTTACATACGATTAACAGTACCAGAAGCAATAAAAAAAAAAATCTCCATGATGAGGCCTTACGAACAAAGAAACTACAAAAGACAGCGCTGTGACAGTCTACATGAAGAACATTGCACACCAAATGTTCAGTTGCAGTAGACCTTAATTAGCCCCATGTGATTATGCCAGCATCCCAAAAATATATGAATTAGTATTATTTTTATTATTACCCGTCCAATTGTCGGGAATGCAACGCCTATTCAGTTGTTCCCGAGGGGCACCGACTTGTGCAAAAAATCTCAGAAGACACAGGTCTTGTAAAATGCCATTGGAGACATGGAAATCTTTTGTCCTACTATCATTCTTGTGTACAGCAAAAATTTTCGAAGGCAGATATGAAAGATTTTGCTTCGATAATTAGGAGGTATCTTCATCAAGCAATATGTAATCTACACTACGAACCTTTTATACATGAAATAGTGTTTAAGATTAATAAAAAGAGCACTTGGTTGGCTCTTTCCTCAAATGCAGTTCACTCTAGTCTCAGAACTGAGCCCCTACTGCAGCTTAAATTCCCTAAGGTTTTTTTTAAAAAAACATGATAATTTTTTCACATTTACAGTTATTTAATTTTCAGGGAATATATAGAATTCATAAACGCGAAAGAAATAGTGCGTTGCTTAGTACGTTAGTGAATATCTACCAGAGAAGGTTTTGGAAAATAAACATACGAGAAAAAATGAGGTTGTGAAACTCATCCAGGCCAATGTGGCGTAGTAGCCAGTTGATTTGAGAACCAGGCCAACGATTGACGCGAGAATCATTCTAAAACAACAAAAGTATAATGCTAATGCGATAATAGCAGTATAGAATGAATTATTCTAGAAAAATTTACTTTCTCAAGGAAAATTATACGCAATATCGACATGTTTCTTGCTACTGAATCTTTATTTGTCACGTTTTTGCGCTAAGCTGTTAAAGAAAGAAAAACATTGCTGCTGTCAAAACCGTAATGTTTCGAATAGGTCTTCGTGGAACTTTTTCAAAACTCGCGAGAAGGGCTTTATCTCAAAACTCGATGCTAAATAAGGGGACTTTTGAGAGGTGGAGTGGGCTAATTCAAAACTTGATGCTAAAGCGGGGCTTGTTCGCGAGAAGGGCTTTATCGAACAACTAGATTAGCTTTACGCTAGTTTTCATATACTATGAAAAAGGAATGTTAATACCATAATCTGATCCAGCACAACAATGCAAGAATTTGAAAGGATGATCGGAAGTAATCTGCCTTTTCTGTGCTAGGAGTGTTATAGGTAGAGAAGCTATAAGAATACGGGGTATCGATGGTCTCATATTGCGAATATGGGATGTGGATGACTTTCTTAATTGTCAATGAAAGGCCATGATAAAAACTGCAAGCAAAAACGCAAGGTAGCAGAAACAGAAATATTTGGCAATGTATTCTGTACATTAAAAAGTTTGGTTGCAAGAGTATTCAAATAAGAAGAGCCTATTGATCCCAGATTCTTTATATCTCTTATTCCGATGCATGGAACCAGAGGCTTTACAAACATATCAGCAGCTCTGCTTACTGGCACATCAAATAATACCATCCTATATTTGCTGCAAAGAAAACGCTGTTGTTTTTAGATTTAAAATGAAAGTTGGCTCTTCTGGTTGTCGTTTTGATTCTTGACTCAGTATGTTGTGTTCCGAGCAAGTGCTCCGAGCAAAGACTATATTTTCAATGTACACTCTGTGAGTAGCTGCTCTATTAGGATATTTCCTGTTGCCACTTACCCGACATATTTATATCCACATAAAGCCAGAAGGTCCAAATACCGCACATCAGATGACATTCCAAAAACATAAAGTGTGAAGATGATTGCCATCAACTCAACAAATAACCACACCAAAGCTGAGCTTGCAGTCATTCCAAGCTGTTCTGGCGAGAATCTAAAAACAATTGAGAAAAAGAAGTGAAACAATGTATGCCGTCAGCGAGAATTATAAATTTGCTCTATTCTAAATAACTGTTCAAAATAGAAAAGATTGGTTTAAAATAAGCAAATTTCGGTAGGCTGGTAACACATTCAATTATCAACAAAACAATAACAACAAAAGAAGCTGAACTGTCACGCTTTAACCAAGCCTTGTTCTTCTTGCTTTATCTGAGTAAGTTTTTTAATAATTGTCTAGTGAAAGGCTCAGTAGCTATCTAGACTGTGAGTAGCAAGTTTGTTTGTTACCATTTTATTATTCATTTTAAAAGTATTGTTTTGAAGAAATATACCGATGCAAGAGTGTGTGCGCACCAAGAGTTTTTGGCTAAAATTCATCACCCATCAAAATAAAAAAACCCTTACGAATGCAATTTGATTTTTTCCTAATAATAAGATAGCTAAAGTATTAAGAAGAAAACTAATATCAAGCAATAAATGAAAATTTAAGTCACAAGACAAATTTAAAAGAAAATGAGACCCTTTCTATCCTCGTTCTGTTTGTTATACAATTGTATTCGACTCAATGAAATATGTTAAAAGCTACGCCTTAGCCAACAAGCAAATTTACAATCTTCGAATCCTGCATCACTTGATTCTTATATATAAATATAGAGGTATGTTGGAGATAGTTTAGGGAGAGCATGAATTTAATAAATGTTTGTATCTAAAAACAAGGGTCTCTTCTCTAACCACTTTCAGGTTATATCTCACTTTTTTGAAGTTAAAAATATGGTTTGACTTTGTCCACTAAATAAAATCAAATACTTTAGAAGTTTCAATCAAGCAGATGATGAACAACTTTTGGTTAAAGTGCTAAAGAAATTATGATATAATTAAAAGACGATTTATATCAATCTATTATATACTAATCTTACCTGTTTTGCGTTCCAAGGACAAGGCCACAAGTCAAGACGTATGTGACAAAACTCATAACTATGTTAAGAAAAAACATTGAAATGTCATGGTTTCTAATTTAACTGCTAATAAAAAAAGTTTTATCATAAGGTGTTGATTATTTTAACAGTTATCATCAGAGATATAAAAAACAGACAAAAGTTGAGGGGTATTGAAAAAATTTGTTGGCAACTGTGTTTCGTTTCATTGTATAACAATGAGAAAATTCACAGATGCTCAATTTGAATACCTTGTTTATCATAGATTGTTTTCTAGATATAAAAGAATATGCAACTGTAAAGAAACAGGCCTTTACCAAATTGGTGCTATAATAAAATTAAAGAGATAACCGAGTGGATGCTCTCATGTAACACATCTATGATCAGCATCAAAGTAAAAAGAAAAAGCATGGAACAAAAGGCACTTTATAGCTGCATGATTCGTGTGAAGAGAGTCCTGCACAAAGCTCCAGTATTCAAATACTGCACTGAGCCAAGTATAAGAAATACTACATAACAAATGTAACTAAACTTACTAAACTCACCTGGAATATAAAGATCTGGAGCATTAATTTCATACCGGGGTGCGACTGGTTCAGCCTTATTGTATTTCACAGACCAGTTCTTGGAAAAAATTGACATATTTTAGATTCAATTAAGTCGTTTTTGAAAATAACAAAATAAACATTGAGAACATTGACTTGACTTTTGCTCAATTCCTCAATTAAATGCTAAATTCCAGCAAAAAGGTTGGAAATAAATCAATACCACACAATCATACTGGAGGGTACAAACAAGTAACGCTCACAAGGTAAAATGAAAATGCCTTAAAGAAATATCTGACACAGCTTGATGAAAATTAAATTAACATTTTATATCTTAAACCAGACATTCTTGAAACCAGCAATTACATAATTTAGAAATTGATTTTACCAAAATCCTTCAGTTAAATGCTTAGTTCTAACTAAACAAAAAAATAAACAATTAACCAGAGAAAAGCCTAAAAAACAAGCAATTAACACCAGCATCCAACACACTCATGCAAAAGAATTGCTTAAAAATAAATCACTGATACAACCTGATAAATACAAATTATAATAGACACAACATAAATTAACAGAATATTCAAATACATTTCATACAACTTAGATTAACCTTTAAGCAGTCAGTTGGATAGAAATTCATATACCTGGTGGGTGAATGGAAACACTAGTAGAGCTAGTTTCTTAAGAACGTAGTTTGTGTCAACAGCAAAATAGTATTTTAGCTTTGAAACTGATAGGAAATGGTCAATCTGAAAAAGAAAATAAAAAATTTGAGATAATAATGATAATAATGAACAGTGCTAAAAATGATAATAATGAACAGTGCTACAAGTGAAAACCAACTGTTACGATGACCTTTAATGCATTCCAAAAAAGATTAAACACCCAATACAAATGTGCTTCGTTTATAAACTTGATGTATTTCTCAAGGGTCATATAGATGATATTGCTGGATGATCGCAAAATGTTATTCTTTTTTAAAATGCTTTAACTGCCCAGAGAATGTTTCAAGTGCTATTGAAGTTCAAATACTAAGTGCTCTATAGTATTCCTAAACATTCGCCGGAGAATTGTTTTCCAAATGCATTTTTCGTTTAGGTGTGGTTAAATCAGCTTACTTATATTTCCTGTGTTTTGATATATTGGCTTTGTATTGCCTGTGTCACTTGCTTGGGTCACAAAGATGACTGGAAATGTGTTCATTAATGAGGCATTTATTCCTCAAAATTAACCGTTTAGCGCGAGCGATCAAACGCTCGCGTGATTGGGTTTGTGCAAGTGCTGACGCTATCGCTAGTGATCGCTCGCGTCAAACGAAAAGGCCTGTTCTGGGACAACTGCTCAAATGAAATCATAGAGGGCATCATATATTATAAAGAAAATATATCAAGCTGAAAAAAAATAAACCTTTTGATCCACAAATTCTCTTCCAGTAGATGCAAGTGATGTACCATATTGAAGGGCCATATTTGCCATTGGATCATTTACAAACTGTGCTCCAGGAAACGTTGGTTGTTGTGGCATTTGTCCTTGCTGTTGCCCAGCTGAAGGATCTCCATACTGACTTGTATCATCAAAGAGCTGAGAGGAGCTTCCTCCATACGTAGGCTGTTGGTATGCATATTGCTGCTGCTGGTTTGGCCTCCCTAAATCCAAAGAAAGCATGTTTTCTCCACTATTTAAAATCAAAATTTGATGAGATCAGTTTGATAGTAGAATTCCACCAATTCAAACTGGCACTTACTCAAGGTTCTTTTTTATGCAAATCAATCTTAGTTACCTAATGTGCTTATTCATCACACAAAGCAAGTATTCATGTAGTCTCACAATTTTTCTGCTGCCTTTGAAAACTGAAATCTTTGCTGAATGTTACCAGCTCCACATATATAGAAAAGAAGCCTACTTTGAGACCTATTTTCACTCTAAATTATTGAAAACGTCAAATGAATAATGAAATCAAGCCAAGTGAAAATTATCAAGTGCTGTTGTCTGTACTTTTACATTTGAAATTCACTGATACTGACAGTGATTGGAATTTTTCTTCCAATGAGAAGAAAATAAGTGGCGACATTCAAAATTAGCCAGCTATAGAGATATGCAGCACAAAAATGGAAAATGCATCATCTGACTAGAGAAAGCCAGAATAAAAAATGTGAGAATATTGCCTGTGACTCTACAGAGTATTTTTTGATGCTTAATTTCCTGCATAACATATAGAATCAAAGTTTCATACAAAACAACTTTTACAACTGCCTTTAGCTTAAACACATTATTTCGTGACTGTTGTTCTTTATATTCAGTGTCTAAATTTTTCAATCAAATTATCCATCCAAAGGCATTGCTAGCAAAAGTACAGCTACATTTTGTAAATTCATAAAGTTAATTTCCAGCATTGTTTTTTCTCTGTCCACCCTCGCTTCCACTGACAGTGGCCCTCATAGTATTAGAAATGAAAAACTAATACCTTACTCCTGTTTACCCATTGGTTATCATGGCTCAACAAAAGAAATTTAGGTCATGCAGGCCACAACAGACAAAGGAATTTTGGGGCAGTGGTAATATTTTTCGGAGGCTAATACCATGACCAGGGCTGCTGATTACGGCATGGATTAAATAATCACACTTTTCAATAATTTCAATAAGGATTAGGAAAGTTTTCATTCAACAAACAGAAAAGCAAATATAACTGGGCTATATGAATAGAGCTGGTCCCATCATTAAAATTTTTGTCAAAAAGTGGTAGCATACAAAAAGCAAAACAAATTTCTTGCAATTTTATAGAACCAAAGTCCCCTTTCTTTGGAAATAAAATGGTATTAGACTAATACCTTTAGTACCACCCCAAGCCGCCCCTGCATGCAGTGGCGGATTTAAGGGGAGGGGGCAACTATGGGCAGTTGCCCCTCCCTCAACGAGTTGAAGCAGGTCTGGTGCCCCTTTTTCAGAAATTGTACGCCCCTTTTGAAGAATGAGAATTAGATGAAAAAGATTCTGAGACCAATAGGTTAATTTGCTTCAAGGATGGTAGTGGGGGCCCTGAAAAACTTTTAAAAACTGATGATGAGAGTAGACTGTATTCAGCAATTTCAGATACATTTTCAGTGCCTCCACTACCAACTGCCCCTCCTTCAAATTTGCTCTGGACCTGCCCCTGCCTGCATTTGCCACAGCCCCATTTATATTCACCAGTGAGGCAAAAAAATCAGACTCACTACAAATGGTCCATTCTTCAGCAAGAACACAAGTAATGATTATTCTAGTTCACAACCGTCAAGCTTATGTTCCTAACAATGTGAGAATGAGCATCATATACCTGATTAGTTCTATTATTTCTATTGCTCCTACCTTTTGCATTCCTTCTCTGTGGAGCAGGCTTGCCACTAGGGTCACCTGGAAGAAATATTTGGCTACTTGAGTAAAGAAAGAAATGATAAACACATTATAATGCTTGAAAGCTTGTTTTCTGTTGTCATTGTAACATGTTTATTATAACATTAAAGGTTGAAAAATAAAAATGACTATCACCAAAATTTAACTGGCTGTTGTTAGGTGCACTTAAAAGGCATGTGTCATGAACATGATTGGCTAATGCAATACAATGTCTTTTTTCTTTAGTACAAAGCATGGAATGGAAGGTGAATTCTTACAGCAGTAAAAATTCAAGAAGAAGAAATGAAAAGTCACGAAACAATGGAATTCCACTCAAAACGCTTTTGTTTCATTGCCCTTTAAAAGCACAATTTTTAGGCAAATGTGCCAGATTCCAAATATTAATAAGAAAACACTTAGATTTACACAGGAAATTTCTTAGGTATAAAAATTAAAGCACAAGCTTGAATTGCATAAAATTTTCATCATAAAATTTTCATCAGAATAGGTTAGGCAACAATCTGGGAAAATGGGATGTCCTAGGGCAAAAAAAAAATTTTTGTCCTCCTTATTAGGACTAAGAAAAAACACATCTTGTCGTGCTGGTAGTTTGGTGTTCCACATAGTAGGACAATCTGAGAGTATGGCAAAATCGTTTCAGCCATTTTTCATCTGCAAATCTCCTTTCTTCTATCAAATGGCCTCCAAACAAAGGTTTACAATAAAAATGAAATTTTAATTCGGTGTGCAATTTCAGATTTTTGCATGCAGAGGTATATTGTGTGTTATACAGTACCTTAATAATTATTTTTTCATTTGATTTATGAGTTGCATACACACTCGTATGGGCCTTGGGAGTTTTGGACTAAGACCATATCTTTGTTGTTTAAGTTTGAGTGGTACAAAGAGAGAGGGATACTCTCTCGACCGAGGATAGTTCATTACAAGTTTATAAAGGTAGGCTTGCAAAAAAGTTATTAACCCTAGGGCGGTGGACCGTGGTGGCGAACGGTAGAAATTGGGTTTTGGGCCAAGAACATTTCTCCTTCACATAAGATATTCGTTGGAGGCCAGCCAGCATTCTACAGCACGCGTACTAAAGTATACAACATATAATCTTCAAATATCTTACCTACGTAGAACTCTTGCGGTGGGTCCATTACAAATATTATTCACTTTCTTCAGCCCAGCCAGCAACTTTGTTGTATTTTCGACCTCGTTCAAACATGAACGAAGTGAAAAAATCGACGTGTAAAACGAAAACGAGGCAAGATGCAATCTCAACGCGAAAAAGAAGGGGCGTAAGGTATAATAAAACAAGCAATAATACTCTGAACCCAGGGACAGGTTTAAGTAACAATAATTAGGGGGGTGTTAGGTACTAATTGGTAGATACTAACACCATATAAATGTTCTCTAGGCAAAAAGCTAGCGACACATTTATCTGCTGAAAGAATAAGGGGAGGGAAACAGGTAGAAAATTGTCTTATTGTTGCTTATTGCCTGACAGTTTAATAAATTTTACGCTCTCAATTCATACCCTCTTTTAGTTTTACTAAAGTAAAACCTGAAAATAAAGAATTGTTTTTTCTACTTAGCCTAAGAAGCTTCTGAATGCTTGGGACTTTTTTAAATTTTAGGCCAAATGCCATGTTAAATTTTAAGCCCAGATTTTTAAATTTCCTAAGGCTCATTACCATATTTTTCTTGAAAATACTGTACTGAGTGATATACTATACACATTGCATTTTAATCCATAAATATGTGTACTTAATTTGAGAATGAGTGCTGCTATTAACCTTCAGAGTCATACAAAAACTAATTTTATTTTGTCATCTTAAAATAAGTCTATTGTTGAATTCTTTGCTCAGAAAGAGACATCTTGGAGCCACAAGTAGGAAAAATTATATTACCCCTTTGCCTAAAAAGTTGCTTACAAGCCAGAGCTTTTCAGACGGGCCTAGCTGGAATTTGAAGTAACACCCCCTCTTTTAATGGTTTTCTAAAAGAAAATCCTGTTGGGTTTTATCAAAAATTGTAAAAATGATAGTTGTAGAGACTTTGTAAAATGTAAAAATGATAGTTTATAGTTGCTGTTGCTGACACAAGGCCTTAGGAAGGTCTTACGAATTGAGGGGGCAACCCAAAAATGGGCCCTTCGTTATCACTTTCAATCGAAAACTAGCTAAAATGGAACCAAAAACATGTTATATAATAGCAATAGGTCTATTTTGGTCTGGAAGTCGAACAATAAAACGGTTTTTGGAAATCTTTGTTTCTAAAAAAACCAAATATTTTCAGGCGTGATTCGCATTCCTTGCAAAATTTATTTACAGCGTCAAAAAGCTGATATAAGTTTTCTTTGTATGCACTTGAAACCACAGTGTAATTAGGTTTTTCGCTTTCATTTTTTCAAATCAGATTGTTGCGCTACCGCCGATTCATGACCGTCGATCTACGAACCTCCAGGTTATATTCGCTCCCCATGACAGCTACAGAAAAACCCGAGTCACGTCTCTCTCCTCTAACTCAGACAGCTATATATATTCATACTCGTGTGGATATCAATTACATATAGATATCCAGATGGACCCACGTGCGCCTTCTAATAAAGAAGAATATGGGGAGGTGGGGGGGGGGGGGGGTTGGTGCTTGACAATGGAAAATTTATCATCCATATTAAAAGATATTGAAAAAGCTCTATTTTTTCAAAAAATGATGCCATGGCCTTCCAGCCCCTTTCGTCGGAGGCCCTGTGGGCAGAAAGTTGATAGACTGTGGGCAGAAATGAGACACGATTGCTGATAGAATCAGCACGACTGAAAAAGAACAATTGTGAATACAGTAACATCCCGCGTGTAAGAAAGAAGCTAGGGGTTTTAGACCCTTCTGGCATAAATTTGCTATCTAAATGCTCCAGAATATTAGAATTGTTAACTGCTCCCCGGTTCCGACGGCACTGGACAAGGTGAATAGCTTTACACTGGATTTTGTCAAGGGGGGACTTGAGGGACAGCCGTCAACTCTAATGGCTATGGACTTATAAGCGAGAAAGCTGTCAATCTGATTTATGAAGGTTTTTGCAGGCCATACATGGGGAGCAGACAATCGAAGGCATTCGAGATGTCGAGGGAGATTACAATGCTCTCACCAAAGGATTCAAGATCAATGGACTGAACATGCGCAACGTGATCTAGAAGATCACATGTAGATCTCACAAGACCTGCCCAGTGGTGTAGTAGAGGGTTAACTTTATACTACCTACTCAAACGAATGATGATGTTTAGATTCTGAAGTATTATTATAATCACAGCTAAATTAACTGGACATTCAATACTTGTCTCACCCAAGGTTCAATTGAGTATGAAAGTGGCGAAAGTAAAAAGAGGTTTTTACAGTCTTGACATGCATTTGTGAGTTGGGCATTCATAGTTCAGAAGTTCAATCGTTGATAATTTCACTTGAACAAATACAGAAATAATGCTTGTTTTTCAATATTTGTATGGTATAATGTTCATATTTCTTAAGAAAAAAGGTATTTTGAAATCTGTGTTACACTTACCAAAATTCCGAGACTACGCCACTGGACTTTTTAGGGAACATTCCAGGAAAAGTTTGTTAAGAAGAGCAGGAAATAGAAGAACAAGGAAAGTTTGCTAAGAATTGATGCGATTAATGGGGCACCAATTTTCACTTTTATCTCTACATTAACTGATGCATTATATCATGCATTAACTGAATGTCAAAGATTTTATTCAAAAATCAACAGTTCTAATTATTCTAAGCGGACAGAAATCTTAGTCAGAAAAAATCGAGATCTTTGAATTAAAAATCACCATTATCTAAACGCTCAGGTGCACGGAAACAGAGCCTGCTCACACAAAGTTAAATACGTGCATTAAAATTGAAACGAAATCTAAAACAGACAAATATTTACGTACAGAAATAAGGAGCAAACCAATAAGATTCTAGAACTAAGCATTATATGTCCATAGTTATATGTCCATAGTTTATATAAATTTCACAGTCATTATCTTCACAGACGACAACAGGCATAAAATATTCCTCGAGTCGGATCATTGCATTCACACTCAGATCTCTGATACATTCGGGTTTGCTTCATTATATTTGGTTATAAAAACCAATATAAGTAGTTTCAGTTTCCTTTCTCTGTTTCTGAATTACATTCTTTAAAAGCACAGGCCGATGGACTTTTATTTCATGGATGTATTTCCTATCATTACTTTCGCCAACTCAGATGAAATCAAGCTGGGTGATTTAAAGACACAAATATTTAAATCAGCTCTGGAAATAATGTAGAAAATTTCATTTTCTTTATTCCACATGCTGAAGATCTGACGAGAAGCTGCTTGTTGCATGGTGATAACCCCCCCTTATTTCATAACTAACTCTACGGTGGTGGCCGTCACAATGCTAATGACACTGAGCTAGCTAGACCTGTCCTTATTCTTCCATTACGGTCATAAATTCATGACACAGTGATCTAGTTCCTCTTTAAATCAAAACCCATAGTGCAAAACGCTTAGACATATAGTTGAATTACCTTGTATTATCGAATGAAAATAGCTTGGCACTTAACTTGATGGAGAATTAATATGAAAAAACGATACAGAAAATCCTCCGATTATCGTTATCTACACAGTACAAAAATTTTCCTTCAACAAATCTATCCAAAATGTTTCGACTTGGATAAAAGTCAATCAGCGAATTTGGTTTAACTATCGATCTGTCTTCCGATTAAACAGATATTGGTTACCAGTTCACGAATCAGGATAACTTGGAGATTTCGTTCTTGAGGGCTAAAAACATCAAAATAAAAAAGTAACAAGTTATGTTACAGAAAGAAAAATTGGCCCCAAAATTAGTGCTGAAGGTTGAGGAATTTAGGCCACACGGCTAGTGTGGCAATGGGCTGGGCCTCGTCGGGGCTTTTGCCCCGCAGGCACCCTTTTCAAGGCACAAAACAATGGTTGAGGCATTCTTAATTTAGTAGTAATCTTGAGGCAACATATTAAGTAAAAATCGGCAAATACTTAGAGTCAAAACCATACAAAAATAAATTTGAATTTGAATTAGTCGAATATTAAAGCTGTTAACTGTCAGCCAACTTCGGCTGAAGTCATTTTCGCATTGAGCTTATATTGGGATATGACGAAGAAGAACGCAATAAGAGCCGATGTAACGATAATTGCCCAATTTTTGGGTCTCTTCTTCACCCCCAGACAATAAACCTAAAATGCGTTTTATATGGATTTCAAATGCACAGAATTCTCTTTATCTACTTTTAATCAATATTCGCAAAGCATTGTTAAACTTTCCTGATACATATCTCATTTGAAATTACCATGTTATTAAGAATCATATTTGAAACAGAGACAGTTAACTACCTCTTTGCTTGCGGGTTAAATAAGAAGCAGAAATGAACTATTTGCACAGTGTATTGGGGCACCAAATCATATGGCAAGTTAAGAAAAAGACTTTATTTTCTTTTAGTTGGTGATGTTAGGGAAAAGCTCATAAGCCTATAGCTAAGCTCTTACAAGGGAAAGGGAGGATTGATTTGGGAAGGGAAAGGGATGATAGAGAGGGAAAGAGAATACAAGGGAAAGGGATGACAGAGAGGGAGGAAAAATCAAACCTGTTGACTTTTTAAATAAAGACAGGTTGCAAGAGTCTGGGAAGCAAGAAAAGATCTTGGGAGGAAAGAAGAGTTGTGGGATAGAGTAAACCTATTGTTTAAAAAATATTGCAATTAAAAAAAACAAACCTTCCAAGATTTCTTCTTTGGCCTCTCTTAATTCATTTCGGAATGCTTCCAATATTTCCTTAAGTAACAAAAAGTGCAGAGCAAAATTATTTAGCAGTTTTGCGCAGACAAATATGTCGCAAGCTACTAGCCTCAAGCGTTTTCAACTGGCAAGCCAACTAAAACATATATAATGCGTTTTATATTGTGTTGTTCAACACTGGTAAAGGAGTCAACCCTTCGTACTTCCAGTACTACCAAAGTATTATGGAATTTTACCATTTACCATATGCACTGGTGAAATTCATGGAAAGAAAAAAGATTAAGGTGGTAGCCAAAATAATTGAGGCGGGCCTGGCTCCAAGTTTTAAGACATGATACTTACAGCAGAGTCAAATTCATCCTCAATCAAAATATGCAAAACTTTGGTGTTATGTTCAATCATCTTTGACACCAATTTTTGTAACTGGTAAGGCCCGTTGAAGTGAACGAAAATAATTCTAACTCAATATTGCAATGGTTTCTACTAAGGTTAACAATTACAATAAAGAAGCATTTGCTGTAGATCTGTTACTTACTGCTTTGAGCGCTTTAAGTTGGTCGGAGGAAACAGAATCATCGTTAGTTGACTCTTGCCTTCCCGCTAAAGATGGGGCCCCGGATGGCCTAAAAAGAGTGATGCGTGTTTACAAGTCCTGCGAACATATGTGCAGTGACTAACTTAGCTACAAAAGACGATTTATTTCTACAGAAAAAAAACTTCACAACTGTACGTTTAAAAATGAGTAGATCGAAAGAAATTAGATTGACTTCAATGACTCTAAATTTCACTAAGTATTCTCATGGATTAAATGTTAGAAACGGTAGAGGACCATTTCAAGAAGTTAACAGCAATGGAAGATAATTTAGATTGAGAAAAGGATTGAAGATCTTGTGACGGCCAGAGACCAAAATTTTCAATCAATTATGCAACAATAGTTAGAAGTGGGGGCCACCACAACACTCTCTTCCAAAAAATTACAGAAAAGGGGAAATTCTTTCGATAGCTTAAAAAATAGAAGAAAAAAACAAGAGGCGTAGACATTCTTGTAAAATGGTTGATGACAAACACATTCGTCAAGAAGAACTGATGTTTACGGCCGAGTACAGAGAAGAAAGAGTGCATGGTTGCTTTCAAAATGAGGTAATGCATTTAGAGACTTCGTTGGACATATGTTGGAGTCATCTAAAACCTCTAGTACACTTCTTATCCTTTCAATATTAGCCTAAGTTACTTAAACTCTAATGAAATTTTTTTATTTGCGGCAATTTTTAGTACTTTACATATTGACAAAACATGTGTTATAAATATTGGCAAAGAAATAAAGGCCTTGAGCTGGTAATAACATATCGGGTATGTGAAATACATCTTTCAATAACCAGCCCCTCCAAATCTTGAGTCAGGACCTCTTTACATCTCCGTAATCTTCTAAAAGGTCCCAGATTTACTCTTTCTAAATGAAGTATGCGACTAGACCTATTACTGCGTGCAATTAAGGGCAATACCCTGATAATTGTAGGTCGAAACAAAACCTCGGAGATACATGGAGTAGGGACAAATTGACGAACCTGTTTGATGGAGCAGGTGCCTTTTTAACTGGCTCACTCGTGAACTTCTTATTCGGCGCTGGCGATGATGTTGGAATTTCTAAAAAAAAAAACATCCAAACCATATTTCTAAAACGAATTATAAAAGTTAACTTCTGCTTTTGAAATAAACTGAAAACCGAACCCTCAGTAATGTGTAAGCCATAAAAGGCATGTCTTTATTGGCTTGAATAGAATAGCACAAAAGAAAACTTAGCTGCAGTTTTGCAAAAATAATAACAATGAAACGTAGAACAAAAAGCCAAGCTGAAACATGGTTCCTATGCTGATTTTATTTACCTTGGATAAAAACATATCCGAGTAAGTGAAAATATACGGAATGAGGCGGCATCAGATCGTTTAAGAGTTCAAATACGGCAAATGTATGTTTAATTTCAGAAGACGAAGGCTGTCGAATTGTTTTACGGAAATCAATTTCCTTTGCATCTTTGCTTTCATGTGCTTTCATTTATGGTAAATTGTATCGATATTGGTCATAGAAGACTATGGAAACTAGGAAACTATGCTGCAAAAAATGTGTTGTTTGGTTAAATTTTACTGTTCTGCATTTGCAAAGCACAGCAAGAAAAAGGCAAGCACTCAAAAACTGAATATATCAAGCTTGAAGGCGTTGAATAACAAGCATTTTATACATACTCGAGGGTCCGTTGTGACTTGAAACACCGGGGCTTTCCTAAAATGGATAACAATCATTACAGCAACACATATGTGGTCTGCTGGCACAAATGGGATGTAATTAAGGAGAAAAGATAAGACAAGGCAGGCCTTGAAATGCAGAAATTAACGTAACACGATATTCGAGTCAAAATGTGGGTAATAAGTCCGTCCAATAGTCCGCAAAAAAGCACAAGTTAATAACATAACTGCCAGGTTTTACGTTAATTGCGTAAGTCGTACAAAATTTCGGTGATTTTCAAGTTTTACGGCGTAAGATGATATTCGTGAGTTTACTTCTCCATTTTCGATGTGTTTTTGACAACATGAATTGCATTCTAATAAGCCTGTTTCAAAAAAATATGAAATACTTCGAACGCGCCATATTCAAACTCAAGAGGACGTGCTGGTTCACCAATGAGTTAATTCTATACATTCCGAAAAAATTGATGAAAAATATGAAACTAAAAGAGGCTATCTATTGCAATTGTGTGAAAAATATTCTAACAAGACTGCAGTTTGATGGTTTGTTAATTCAATACATTTTTGTAAAGTTTATTGTTTTTCATTATGTAGTGTTTCATTATTAATTTGTTATGAAAAAAACAAAAACGAGTGAAAAATAACCTTTCAATACCTTTTAAAAATATGGTTACACAAGCAAAATCTTATGGCGATATACCATTGTAGCTTGAAAGTAACAAAATGATGCCTCGAAAAGCATCTATTTAAACCAATACTGCATCAAAATTCGGCCACATGGGCAATGCATACTAGAGTTCTTCACCCACAAACCACTCAGAAAAATATAATTTCAAATATTCTTTTTGACAATGTTTTAAATTGCAATTAACGTGCTTACCCCACTTTCCATTTGTTTCCTAAAAAAACAAGAGGTTGTGTGATAGAAATAGCAAATTTCAAGGGTGCAAGATTTAGTGGTTAACAACGTAGGCTAGCTTAAAAATAAGTACTTAATTTTCGTTAGTGATTAAAAAAATTGTAAGTAAGTTGCGCATATTTCCTACGTGATCAAAGGTCGGTTTATAATTCCAGCACCACAAAACCACCCACGGAAACATAATTAGCCACAATATATAACCATAACCAACGGATATCTTATTCAGAGAACACCTGCTTCAACAAGTGTTGTTGTTCGTTCAAGTACAACGAAATGTTTGCTTACCTGGCTTTTAACCTCATCTGCAGCTGGGCCATCATGTCCATTCCACCGCCGCCGCCACCACCACCGCCAGCCGACGGTGCAGCTTTGGGCTGGGTATCAACCTGGAAGAAAAACAGAGGATTTTGCACACTTTCTTGCACTTTAGCGACTCCTAAAGATGCATTTGTTTGTATTCAATGTATTAAAATGAGGAACATCTTTAACTAGGCGTTAATAAGCTGCTTTTTGTTTATGATGTAAAAACAAACAAATCTGCAAATCTGTAAAACATTGTAGATTTAAATAGAAAAAACACCGAAAGACAAATAAAAAACAGGCCAGTAAATACCTCACTTCGCTTCTTCAGTCGTACATTGGCAATTCCGTCTAGAAGACCACCACCGCCACCACTTGATGCGGCTGACGATCCGCCACTACCCCCTACAGGTGGAGGAGGTGGTGGAGGAGGTGCACCGATGGCTGGAGGAGGTGGTGGTGGAGGTGGGCCACCCCCTGGTGGTGGAGGAGGACCCGGTGGTGGAGGTGGACCACCAACCGAAGGGGGTGGACCAGCTGGCGGTGGTGGCGGTCCAGAACCTGGAGCAGGTGGTGGTGCAGGTGGTGCTGGAGGGGCAGGAGGAGCGGCAGGGACAGGAGGAGGGGCAGGGGCAGGTGGAGCAGAGGTAGGTGGAGGACCTGGTGGAGGCTGCGGAGGAGTTGCTGTAAAGAAATATGAATTCACTCGTTAGATCTTCTCCAAAATTATGCAAGATTTAAGATTCAATCTACAAAATTTAATGGAAAAAATACGAAAATCAACTTTTAAAATACGGAGCCAGATTTGAGCCCGTTTACACTTGAGTAAAAAGAACGGAACTTTCACGCGACGCATTCGCAGATGCGCGGCAGTGGCGTCTGACATTTTAAGAAAGCCTCGCCCCAACCCTAGATTAAGCCTTGTTTTCAATCGTAACCAAAAAGTTCCATTTCTGACCGTTTACACTAGAGAAAAAAAGCACGATTTAGAAACGGAACCAAAGTGTTTCGCATTTTAGCGAAACCAAAGAAGAACGGAACCGTTCCCAAAATAGCATAAACATTAGGCATTTTTTGGTCGTCGTGTTCACCCACAATTTTAAGGTCGGATAGTAAAAAGGCAGAGGAAGACTCTCTCTTCTAAGGCGAGGCTCGTAAGTTAGAATTAGCCTATCACGGAGGGGACAGACTGCCTTTAAGAATGCATAAATATAGTTTTGCTTATGCAAGTTTCCAGGTTTCTCATTATGGTCAAGTGACGTAAACTGGAATCTTACCTGCTGGTGCTTGATACGGCGATCTCTGCAAGATAGAAAAACAAATTGAAATACTTGGATATATCACACAGATGAGAAGATTATAGTAATCATCGAGAAACAGGGTGCTAGCTGGACCAAAGGAGCCTTTAGTTTGCCGGATTCCTCAGACAGATCTGCGCTAAAAAGCAGCTTAACTTTAAATTCGGCTTGTACTTAGTGATTCGACTTCTGACTGGAGGGTTCTGATAGGACAATACGTAAATATACATAGTCGGTACGTCCCCTTTATGTTTGAAAAAGCCTAAGAACATTCAAGTTTGCTGTTCAAGGCAATCAAACTGGCGCTTGAGAATAATCATTAAAGAAAAATCTGAAATATTGCAAAATATCGCATATGCCTATTATATTCTTATCCATAATACTGCAATTTTCGATAGTCCCAACACACTGTAGAAGTTCAACGGAGTAGAGAAAAGGGGAAGCGATTTGAGACAATACTGAAAGCTATTTGTACCAAGCATTCGTCATACAGTGAAACGCTGAAACACCAACAACTGGTCAAAACAGGAAAACGTTGTGAGATCAAGTCAACCTCAATACCAAGGGTAAGTGGTGATGTCATTATTCCTGAGTTTCGGAACTTGAATCACAAATCCTGAAAGAACCCTTCAAAATGCGTTTAAATTTAAAAATTTAAAAATATATTTTGTGACCTCATCACAAAGAAACATATATCGAACTCTGGAGAGTGCTGGACAAACAAAATTGCAACGAAAACAATAACCACAATCATAGAGCGAAATATATAACAAGTACTATAACAAAATGCATTGTTTAAAGGTCTATGAAATGTTTTCTGTTATATATGATCATTATTAAATTTAAATGAAAAATTCACATTTAAGAGAGATTTCAGAGATCGATTCATGGTACTGGAGGCTCAGTGGTAAAACTAAGAAACGCTACGATAAACTTAATCAAGGGAACCATTACTTTTTCATAAAACTACGGATTGTTTACAGCTATCCCGATATCTAAGGATTTTTTGGAATATCGCAGACATTGAAAAAAAACTAATGCCCTGTTGCGGAACTGCTTCTGTTACACATTGTAACAAATGGGTAGGCACACTTCACACTACCTCTAAACCGGTGTCAGAAATTCTATTTGCTATGAAGTCCTAAAAGTTCATGAAACAGCCTATTGGCAAACACTGGAATTAAAGACCTAGCCTAGAGTTTCCACTTCAAATGAGAAACAACACCGTGCTAAAACCCATTAGGCCACTAACAGGAAAGACAAAGTTTGGGCCTAGAAAATTATCTTTATTCCGTAGTAATTCGTGCTTCAGGTAAGCATCAGCACTACTGATGCCCATTTCAAACACCAAACACCAATTCTGACTTCATACAATTTGAGTATCCTCATACGACAAGCCTTGAGGAACAGCTCTCAGAACAAATATGCACTACTTTTCGGGGAATAATAAAGATTAAGTTTTGACAACTTACTTCTGCCAAATCAGCACGCTCGAGCAGATCAGGATTTTGAGAAACTTGCTCTAATAAATGACATTCAGAATTCATAGCACTACTCAACTGATTATTCAAATCACCAGTATTCAAAACATCTCTCCGATCTTCACTCGTATTATCAATAATGTCTCCATTAAAACCAGATGTCGAAAGCAGACATACGGTCTCATTAGCCTCAACAGCACCAGGTGCATTTTCATCTCTTAACATTGTTTCATTCAGGACATGTTCCTCTGTAGCCTGCGGAAATTCTTCGTCGGCAACTTTTGCATTTTCAAAGTTTTCCCTGTCACAACTGGTTCTCGCTCCCCTTAGGCACGGGCAATTTTCATTTTCATTGCAAGTCGAAGTTGAGGCAGATTCATCGAGGACAGTATCCGAAATATTTTCGCAGTTAGCGCATGCGACGGCCTCCAAAGCACCTGTGCTTTCACCTGAGCTGATAGCTACTTCAGGCCGAACAGTCACATCCACCTCATCCATAGCACTCAGTATAAACTAACTCATATACCAAATACAAAAAACCATTGGAATACGCGCGATCGACTTTTGCGATACATCTGATCAGTGTGCCTTGTTCTTATCAGAATCAAACGTGATACATACACGCGAGACGGATAAGCTGGATTACAACTTTTGTCTCGATTTTAAGCAAAGGCTAATGATCTTATGAGAGCAGTACTAAGCCACTGGATATTAAGACCAGACAATATGGTCGGTGTTTAACAACGCACAATCCGCTATGAAAATACAACACTGGCAAGTATGGTTCCATCTACGTACAAATACCTCTAAACTAGACAGCATTCAATCCTTGAAGAAGATGACATTAACAATCACGTTTAATAATTAAAATCCGCTATGAAAATACAACACTGGCAAGTATGGTTTAATCTACGTACAAATACCTCTAAACTAGACAGCATTCAATCCTTGAAGAAGATGACATTAACAATCACATGTTCAATAATTAATTGCCGCGTACTTATTGAGCATAAATAAGAAATTAAAGTAAGACTAATTAAAATCTAGCTGAGAGAAACCAAGCCAAGATTCAAAGAGTAAAAATGAAAAGCCATAGGTATAACAGTTCTAAATATTGGTTTGGGGACACAAAAGGGCACTTAAAACCAAACAAAATAATTTGCCTATTTGATCATGCCTTTATTGATACTGGAACATTACAAAAAAACTGCCGTTGAATATTACAGAAAAACTAACTTTACTGAAAAAAGGAAAATCGAGTCTCGCTCTCTCTGTGCATTTTTGCATGTATCTACATTTTCATTGTGATTTTGCCCACTAATCAATGGATTTTGCCTAGCTGCCTCATTGCGAAGACGAGACAGACCAAACAATGTCAAAACGAGGCCTTCGAATGATGACAGAAGCGGATGGCATCGGTGAATTCGCGATGGTAGAGGAAACCTGAGGGTCACGTGATTCGTCATGAATTGTTGGACTAAACGCGTTTTTTATAAGAATTAAACTTGTGACTAATCCGTTTCGATTTCTCTTTTTGTTTTTAGAACTAATATTTTGAAAGCTTCTAATCATCGTTGGGGTAGGTTTCTCAGACGGAATCTTATAAACAATGCAAATTAAGATGCGTATAATGTCCAGTTCCAGCTAGTCATTATTACATTTATAATTGTAATATTACTCCGAAACGCGAATTTTCGAATTGTCGAATTTTACCAATAAAAAGAATTTTTTAGAGAGGTTTATACACGTTGCCAAAAGAATCCTTTCTTATGAAACTCTGAATATCATCTAGCTGAAATACATTTGAAAACTGGCACTGCAGAAATTGAATCGGAATAACTCTAAACGAGTATTCTTCTGCCGGGGATAATTTGTTGAGGTTAGATTTTTTCCTGGCTTTAAGATAACAATGGTTTTAAAACCAGTTTTGGTATAACAGTGGGTTTACTGCGCCTAGCCATTATTCTTAAATCTACTGCGCCTAGCCATTATCCGTTTTCAGTGAATTGCAATAAAACTGGCATAAAAAAGTTCTGTTTTACAATTTGGTCCTCTTGAAACAACCATAAATTTAACATAGGGGTTGAGGAAGTTATCATAATTCACACATACAGAAATAGAATCAAAGGATTGGCTTGTGAATGGCCTTGTCGTGAAATCTGCCAAGTCATCACAGAGGCACTATACCTTGGATTAATAACATATCTGCCACACTATCAGATTTATCGTTTCAGATGAGTTATAAAGCCAGACTTCAATTTAAATGTATTCTTATGTGTTCCAAGAAAATGAAATATTTAGCAACAAATGGATGGATAGTGCAAATTGTATTTTTAGAAATGCGTTGGTATTTAGGAAGAATCTGAATTAATATTATGTAGCCAAGAGTCGCTGGAAAATCCTTAGCTAATCCCAAAACAAACTGTGAGCTCTAATTTAAATAATGTTTTCCAGTCAAACCATTACTCAACATAAAACGACGAGCAAAGCGAGATAAGTAAAACAACCTGGTAATTAAAACTGACCTCGCTCATTGAAATCACAAAGAAAATTAAAAAAAGTTAAAACAGAATTGAGATCATAAACAAAACCTGCAAGTCAGTCATCACTAGCTGCACCAATTTTCCGATTAAAAATACAGTCTTGATTTGGGAATATCTACAGCAATTATCGAGAAGAAATGTGCATTATCTCGCGGGTCATCTGCACGTGTACTGCGGTTTTATGAGAGCGAATTATTCAATATTATGGAGACCACAACCACGTATTACCCGCTGTTCGATAATGCAAACCCGATCACAAAACTTCACTTTTGAGGTAATCCAGTGATAAACGTTAGAAGAAAAAGCTGCTGGCAAAAGTCATTCACAAACCAATATCAATTTCTGTAATGATAGGTTTCAAAATATTCCTTATTAAAAGGATACAAATCTAAAATGAAACTAAGGAGGAATGTTTGTATACATGTATCTTAACGTATGCTGTTTTTGTAAAGTCTGTTATCCATGCCAAAACCGTCATCAAATAAATTTTTACAACTGTTGGCCTGAAGGTTGAGATACAAAGTTTGAATAGTTTTCCAAACAGCTAAGGTCAATGTTGGTGTTAAAGACACAAGGAAATTCAACATTGTGGAAAGGAAGAAAGGGTGATCTAAAATAGCGAGAAGTTGAGGTAAGTGTATTATGCAACATTTCAAAGTGATCACGTGAATGTTTTACAGCCAGCAATGTGTCTCAACCTCTTGATAAGTGATCGCATGCAATTTTCCTCTTGACTGAAATACCGCACCGTCATTGGATAATACGCTTGTTCTGTATATAGATTCTTACTTGGTGCACATGTCAAGAATAGGAAGTAAAGGAAACGTCAAGAATAGGAAGTAAAGATATTAAGTTATAGGAAAGTTAGTAGATTTGAAGCTTTGATTCCAAACACCATGTCTAAATGGCTGAACGATATACTAAATCAAGGCATGATAAAGTAGAACATAAAAATCAACAGTCTACATGGAGTAGGTAGATATTACATCGTTTTGCATAGAACTCTTCATCAGGTAAAGGAATAGGAATATTTTCTTGAATATTCCTTCCTAGTTCATTGCATGATGTAGGGCTAATCTCGAGAAGTCGCAATATGTGTAAAAAGTTGCCCTTTTACGTTTCCAAAAATCACGCCAAATCCATTCATCGTATAAGAAGCTGAACTTCCACAGTGTCATTACAAAATTAGAAATGCAAGACTTTCTGACCTACCGACCAAATGGAATACTGGCCAAAATGCGAAAATTCCACCAGGCGACTTCCGTCATTTTGCAAACACAAAACATGCTATCTCAGCAACTATACATCCCAGAAAGACCAATAAAGGGTAGAATTCAACCGAGCTTTGGATGGCAAATCCAAAGAAAGGCAACACTTAAGCCCCGGTCAAACGCATTCAGCATTTTCGCCGTAAAGTTTTGAAAATTCGTCGATATTTCTCGCCAAACATTTCATCCAACATTTCCATCACCGTGCATCGCCTGCGCAACGACATGTTTACAGCACTGGTTTAAAGATGGTGAAAAGGCATGTAAAATGAAAGTGAATGATGATAGCTGATTTCCAAAACAACATGTCAAAACATCGGCTGTCCTTTTTCTTGAAAGTTTCGTTTGACGGACCCCTGCATTATCCAATTCTTGGTTTCGCGTTTTTTATATTATTCTTTTAATAGCTCTCGCTTCCCTTTAGGCCTGTGCCTAAATCTAGATTGACATTGTTTCTCTCACTCTCCACGTCAGTGCTCCGTTCGCCTTAATCCACCGCCCTTTTCTCAACTACGAATTTTTAGATTATTCAATTCTGTTCTTTGCTTTTAATTTCCATTTTAATTCGATAACTTTGAGAATAGTTGCTTGTAGTGATTTTAATATTGTAAAATAGGCCATATTCCTACTTCTAATCGATCATGCCATCACCATGACATCCACTTACGTCATTCACGGCATCACCTACCACATCGCATTCCCTTCACCATTGTACAAACGTTCACACATCTATTTAATGCTTACTTCTTCAAAAGTCTAGATCTTTCCTTTTCCATTGCATCATCATTACAACATCCTAATTAATACTTAGTCAGCAATTTGATTTCTGTATATAAGTATCTTAATTCGTATAAAGTCAGTCAGTTCAGTTCAGTTCAGATCAGAATTGTAAACGCATCCAACAATTCGTCCAAAATTGATTTTCTGCATGTTAGGTGAAATGCTAGATGCGTTTGACCAGGGCTTTACAGACTTTGGTCCAAACTATCGCCCAATCGCATTCAGAATAACTGAATTCCTGAATTGGTCTTACCTGTGGAGGAGCTTGTTGGGGGGAATCACCAGCCGACTGCATACGTCCAGCGAACGGATCTTGAGTAAAGCGACGATAGTCTGTTTCCACTGTTCCATTGGATTGTGCTGGAACTGGAGTTGGTGCCTCTTCTGAAAGAAAATGTTGATTCGTTAAGTGGCGGCGCTAAGGGGTTTCAGAAAATAGTTTTGTCAAAAATCAACAAAAATATACTGGGTAAGGGAAGGTCGAATTAAAAGGGTCTAGAATTGAAATTATGCGAAATGTAGGTTTTCTCAACAACACTTTAAAGGCGTGGTTTTCAAGGACTACGCCCTGTACTTCTGCTGGCACCCTCAAAAATCTCCGTTTCCTATGATGTATCATTCTAAAAATTGAATAACAATATTTTCGAGCTGGAACATTTGGTCAGTCGCTACGTAGGTTTATTTTGAGAGCATAAATGGTAGTAGTGGTTATGCAGTAAAGCAAGAATTTCGTTCACGGAAGTGTTCAGAATAAAAAAAAGGAAAAGTTAAATTGACATAACAAAGAAATGGAGAGCTAGTCGATCCCGTTCAGATTAGGCGTTCAGTTAAGAAAAAGTAAATTTATCATTTATGGCATTTATGGCAGTCATATTGTCTGTACAGCTTTTTAATACATATAAAACTTCATGGACTACATGAACCAGATTACTTGTCATAAAGTCACAAAATCACATATAAAAATGTCATCACAACAAACCTTACAAACAAAATACAAAAACTAGATCCTACAGACCATACATTTGGAAATATACATTTTGATACTAACAAATGAAACAAGTTAAACTTACTTTACTAACAAATGTTTTGCCTGTTCAGAATAGGGGAGGGCGAGGCATGCTGTCACGCGGGCAAGTTGTCAGAGCCTCTTTTTGGCAAGAAAACGGTTGGTTATTGATTGATATTTGTCATTTTCATTGATATTTGATTGGTACTTGACAGTTGATATTTGATACTTCAAAATTGACCAATAGCGAACCGTTTTATTGCCAAAAAGAGGATGTGACAATTTGCCCCTGTGACAACATGTCCCACCCTCCCCTTCTAATACCGTAAATCCTCGAATTGTTCCCCCCACCCTCGAATAAGCCCCCACCATGGAACTACAAATCGTCAATAAGCCTCCCCCCTCAAATAAGCCCCTACTGCTGCCGTAAATTTTGGAATTGGAACCCTCCATCTGATGCCATCTGAGGTTGCCTATGGCGTTCTATTGAATTACCCCAACAAATTCATACTTTTGGTAGTAATTAATTAAATGCTCATAAAAAAATTCCTACTAAAAAAAGTTCTTTTAATAATGTCTTCTTAATGTCTACAATAATTTTATAAGTCCCTCCCCCCTCGTATAAGCCCCCCTCTAATAGGCCCCCATCCAAAAATATAAAAAATAAATAAGCCCCCAAGGATTTACGGAATTCAGTTATTCGACTATCTGTTATTGAGGAGAGGACAAGAGAAGTGAAAAAAGCCTACGATTTAGTTGGAGGGATTATCGTCAACAAATAGCTTACTTCCAACAGTGACAATTAATCGGTTAACATAAAAGTTAATTTCAATTGCTTTTCAACGAATATTTAACAATTGTGAAGTCTCGATACTATGAAGATAAAAGTGCCCTATTTCTACCAAACAAGAGGAACAACCACTGGTCGAAAATTTGTAGTTAATGTTGGGTTGGGGCTGGTTAAAAGATTCGTTTCCATAGCAATATCATGGACCCCGTCATCGTATAAAAGAGGAAGTCTTTGTACATAAAATCACGTTGTTTTTCTCAGAAAAGAAAAGAAGGACTTTTTAAGCCGCATCTAACTGTCTGCCGCTGGCAAAAACGAGGGGCGTAACCTTCCACGTAAATCTGGTACGTTATTGGCAAAATCCTTTTGTTTTCGAGAAAATCCTGAAAAGTCCCTAAAAGTGCTATTGTTATATAAAAATCTCATATCAAAGAAATTGCGCTATATTATTCATATAAGAAAAGAAAAAATCGAGAAGCATAGTACTGAAAAAGCACGGTTAAAGCAAGACAGAATTCTGGCAATTTCATCGGGCAAGATTCTGTAAAAACAAGATTGATTAAGAACAAATAGCTTAGTTCCTTCAAAAATTGTCCGCACAGATTCTATTTCCTAACAAATCTTGCTGAGAGCCTCATAACATTAAGATCCGGCAAACAATAAGAAACGCCATGAAACATTGCAACAAATAAGCAACATATAAGCAAAGGTCACGTCACAAAGGAAACCATACAGTTTTATGAAAGACACGTAATAACAGAAAAATGTTGAGCTACAAACCATTGTATTAAACCTTTCTTTTCGTAAACTATGCATAAATAAACATGTTATTTAATTTGCTTTAAACTGCTTTTGGTAAACAATAATTTTTTATTTTACTTATTTTTGTGCATCAAAATAAATTTAAGAAAAGTAATAAGTGCACTGACAAAAAACATTCAACATTAATTTACTTACTGAGATTTAGTAACAATATTATTTTAAAGAAACAATACTTTAAAGAAAAAAAAAGTTTATAGACACATTTAGATTATCTGCTGTAGATTTGATCAATGTAAATCAATATTAATTACATATTTCACAATTACAGTGGCCTGGTGATCGCTTTAAGCGTGAAATTCGTAGTAGCAACTTAGAGCTGTTCTGTTCTGTACAGTTCTGCCAATCAAGCAATTTATGACAGACCAGTAAACAGTAATTTTCTTTAAATCATATTTATGTCAAATGATTTTTAAAATCAATCATTGGCTAATCATTGGTTTAAAACTAAATCACAGAGGAGTATGATTTTAAAGCTTTTACCCGTTGATTCAATCTGGTTGACTGCATAATGAGAGTCTAAAATGAGAGATCAATGTTCTTTATAAAAAATATATTTTCAAAATAGATATAGATATATGGTGCAAAAGTTTAACTGAAAATTAAAACCAACAAATTTATAACAAAAGTGAATTAACAATGCAATAAAAATGAATGATAATACGTTGAAAGAATTTAAATTGTCCTTCTGATTTCCATAGAATAATTTTGTCAAAAATCTGCCTTTTTCCTGATTTACAACTTTTTAGGAAATAAAGGTGCAAAAATTCAAACTACAGTTTTCCACCCCGCATAATATTCATCAGCCTATAAGAACTTGTGATACAAACATATCGCCAAAACCAACCCGAACAGACTGATATCCTGGAGAAACCAGAGTCAAAAACCCTCATGACTCGACACAGAAGTTAGTTTTTAAAGCCACCTTCCACCTTTAAGCCTGATAAACACACAAAAAATTTTTGTGCGAAGCGAATTTTTCAGTGTGAATGCGTGAAAAATACGCGCAGAAGTAGAGATTAGAAAATCCTCTGCAAGCTCGCAGCGAAAGCAAAAACTGCTCCTACTTTTTCGCTGTGAAATTGTTCAAGTTGTAAAATAAACCAATCAGAACAACATTGGAAAACAGCTGACTACTGTTTTGGTTCCTTGTGGCCTACGTAATTCCGCATTCTTTCTCTCTAACACTTTCACCTATACAACGTCATTTCTTTGTACACGCTCCATTTAAGTCGATTCAGAGCAAATTATCATTATAACATATGAATTCAAATTGAAGAAACCAGGCTTGAAAGTTCTACCGTTCTAACAATTAGTCTGAAATAAACGATTGGCAAGAATTTTTCCAAAACCAGTATCGCTTGTTTGCTGTTTTGCTGTTTTGCTGACACTTTCAATTAAATTAACTTTGCAACTTTAAGCTTTCCAACAACAGCAATTTTTAAACAATTGCCATCTTATTTTGCATTATTTGCAGTGAATTCACATAACAATTCTGCCAGGGTAAATCGAACTTCAAATTTGAGGGACAAATTTGACTTGCGAGAAAAGTTTGTCTCACGAAATCAGACTTAAGTAAAAGTCAAATTTGTTCAAGCATGAGAACATGTTGTAAACTCGCCTATGAATGTTTCAAAGTTTGAGTTGCAGCAAACTGAGGTGAGAGGCAGCAGTGTTATCCAAAACACAACATGGGTGATGTATAATCTGAGTTGAAGCAATTTACTTTAAGAAGCAATTTTTTATTCCTTTAAACAAGTTATGTAAATTTTTTCTGCTGAAATTTAAGATCTCTGATGGCCCTAAGCAAGTTTACCCTTCATTCAATACAGAATTTGCAATCTAATAATTGTTTCCAAAAAAACTAGATGAAATTTTCAGGATTTACTAAATTGTTTGTAAAGGGCCATTAAGGCAGTTTCTGATACCATGAAGTCACAAAGTCACTAAGCCAAAATTCAAATTTATATAACAAATTTTGAAAATATTAATCTCGATATCAAATTTATTCCACTGTGTCACATAACCAGGGCCGTTGACATCCAGCTCGGGCCCAGGGATGATTCACAAAACTGGGCCCTCTTAAGAAAATTTCCGGTAGACATGCCCTTCAATCTCCTGGAAAACTAGGAAAACACCCTTTTTAGTAACAATTGTTGAAAAGTTATTTAAGGATTTTTCAAAAATGTGCAAAAACATTTTACATGAATCAAGGACATATGGACAGCTGGAATAGAAGCTTTCCTGCATTGTATATTGATCTTATTACATTATTACAGGCCCCATCGAAGCACGGGCCCCAGAATTTTTTCCTCTCCTAACCCCCCCTTTTGACGCTCCTGCACATAACTGAAAATTCCTTTCCTTTTGAATCAATTCAACTGTTGAAATACAATTGCTTGTATTTGAAATACCATAGGGGTCATTCACAAAGGATGTCCAGCAAAAACATATATTTTTGGCCCCCCTTTTCTCCAGTATTGTCCGTATCCAGAGCCCCTCCCCCTTCCTAGGACATCCACTGATATCATACTGAAAGCTTTTCAACCATGTATATGTAAATAGAATACAAAAAGCAGTTCTTTGCTCCGA